AGAGAGAAGGCTAAATTTCCTGCACTCACCCACAGCTCTTGAATTTACCCATGCATAAGTCAGATAATGTAAAAATGGCTGTTCTGGTTCTCCATGGGAACATCCCAGAAAGACCTCTCTAATAAAGCACAACTGCACTACTGTTCCCTAAGGACTTAAAGATACAGTACTTACACCATCTTACAAAGTAACTAATGTCAAGCAGTTGCTTGGATTCTGAACCCAGTTTAAAACTTACAGCATAACAAATCATACAATTCAAGGGGTATTTTCAAAATAAGATACATGCTCACAAGTCCAATAGTAACAAGTATGATGATACAAACACCTCAATAAAGGTATTATTAATAAAAATTAGCCATCAAAAAATGAAAAAATGGATACAGAATTCAGATCCAAGTACCATTACTTATCACTATAAAAATGAACTAAGTTCCAGAGATACATTTAACCCATGAGGAGACACTGTATTAAATTTATGTATAAAGAATGCTTTATCTAGGTGGGGCCTGGAGATCTGGTATTACAGTTGATCTCTAGATGACAGAAATCAGTTCCTCTGGAGAAAAGGCTGCTTTGGAGGATAGACTCTATGGTAGCGTACCCTGCAGATGTCCCTCCCCCAACCCTGCCCTTCCCAGGCCCCACACCCAAACTCTTCAGGTTTTCCCCCACCCACCTGACCTGGATATCCCAGACGAGCCCAATCTCGTCAGATCTTCGAAACTAAGCAGGGTCAGTTAGGCTTGCCAAGTCCCCCTGGGGGGCGGGGAAAACCCCGCCCCAGAGGCCTGTTCCCCACCGCCACCGGATTGGGCCCCGGGGGGAACCCCACCCTGACGTGCATGTCACCCGGAAGTGACGCAACCATGCCAGGCACACTGGGGGCGGGGCCACGGTCATCCGAGGGAAAACTATGTTTTTCCCTTGGATGGTCGCGTGCCCGGCGTGGTCGTGTCACTTCCGAGTGACGTGGATGCGGTGCACGCGCGCTCTCTCCAGCCGCCAGCCAGGAGTCCCCCGCTGCAGCGAAAATAATACTTGGCAACCCTAGGGTCAGTCCTGGTTAATATATGGATGGGAGACCTCCAAGTAGGGGTGTGCATTCGTGTCTACTCAAACCGAAAATATAAAAACACCTTATCCGTATTTTTGGGTATATCTCAGCATCCCAAATGTATCTGGGATTTTTCAGGAGGACCGGAAAAATTCCCTGAAAAAATCCTGGATATATTCAGGAATTACCGGGAAACCCAGAACAACAGCTGAGGGGCTGGAGCAGATTAGTCCCATCGCTCAGCTGTTTTGGGCTTTCTTCTGCAGTCCCTTTAAACAGGGGGTGTTTAAAGGGACTGCAGAAGACAGCCCGCAAAACAGCCGGGGGCACTCTCCCCACCAGCTTAGCTGGGGTTCTTTTGGGCTGTTTGACCAAACTGCCAAAGAGAGCCCCAGCTGAACCTGTGGGGGGAGTTCTCCACTAAGCATCAGCTGCTTCGTGAGGTCTTTTGGGCAATCTGGTTTAGAGGGACCACCAAAAAGAGCCCCAGCTGAGCCACCTGTCAGCTGTTTCTTGCAGTTTTGCTGCTGCATTTCTTCTCTGTATTTTTCAGTTTGGGTATATTGGACCAGAAAAAATTTAGGATTTCTGAAAAATCCTGGATCCGAATTTTTTACCGGTATTGGGATCTGGGTTTTTTGGGGGGGAATCCCGATTTTTTTTCAGGTCCAATAGACCTGACCTGAAAAATACAGAGAGAAAAAATTGCATATCCCTACCTCCAAGGAATACCAGGGTCATGACGCAGAGGCACGCAGTGGCAAAGCACCTCTCATCGTCTCTTGCTTTGAAAATCCCATGGGGTTGCCATGAGTCAACTGTGACTTGACAGCACTTTCCACCACCATTTCCCCAACCCAGAGCTTCTAACGCTAATTGCTATGGACTTGCCAGTATGGTACTATGTAAATCAATAGAAATTTTGCTGGTGAAATTACTCATCAGAAGTGAGAAATTGGTCTTCCTTATGATTAGTTTAGTTTAGTTTTATTATTACGATCTTAAGACCAACATACAGAGTAAGCATAATATGTCAGGGAGAGAAGGAAAAAAACCAGTCATAACATACAAAAATAGAAATCTGAATTTAAGAACTTTTAAAAATGCAATTCCCGCAATCTAAGAATTAATGCACAAAACAGCGACTGAAGGTGTAATCTCTCCTTCTTTATGATTGTACTCTGGCTATGTTCAGTTTAGTTTAATTTGTGAAAATATATTTTTAATGGTAATAGTTTAAAGTTCTGGTGCATTAGGCTGTATTTGTAAAATCTGTAAGATTTAAAATGTTTTTAATATATTTTATTAATATTGTAAGCATTCTGGGGTTCCATAGGAAGAAAGGTGGCTAATAAATATTTATAATAAATACATTTGAGGAAGAGAAACTGTTCATTCGTACTCTGCCTTTCTCACGGAAACCTGAGGCAGATTAAAAAACAACAAACGTTACAATAAAACTGCCTAAAATTTTTCCACATTAAACATTAAAACAGTGCAGATCTCTCTTCATTGAAATGCCCTCTTGAACAACTGCATTTTATATACTCTGTGGAATGACAGCAGCGTGGGAGACCTTCCTGCCTTTGTCAGGCAAGGCTGTTCCGCTAGGTAGGAGTCACAACAGTCTGGGCAGGTAGTGAATTTGCCCATGTATGGGGTTGCCCTTCAAAAGACCTTGCTCAGGTGAGTAAAACTGTCAGAGCAGAGCATTTTGGGAAAGTTAGTCCCAGGACATGAAAGTGTTTGTAGAT